AGCCAGAGCAAGTCTGCGGGGCGGCGATGAGGGGAGAGTGGGGTTGGCAAATGGGAAAGAGGAACTGGCCCCTTCTCTAGTCCTGTGTGTAATGGACACCTTCAGTCAGGGTCTGTGAAGACTGGGCCGGCTTGCAGGTTCTCCGATAGAGATCTGATCATCACCCAGCCTAGATTCAACCCAGGTAACTCCTTGAAGTTGCAGTCATGCACCGCATAGCGTTTCAGTCAATGATGGAGCACACACACCCAGGTGGCGTCCGAAGGCTACAGAGGAGCTGAAAAATGCCTATCCCCTCGTGATTTGTTACGGTTGCCTGCAGTGCAGGAACATGCATGCAGGCTGTAGCCTAGGAGCAGCAGACATGCCATACAGCCTAGGTGTGTAGTAGGCTGTACCAACTGGGTTTGTTTAAGTACACTCTGCGATGTTCACACAGTGAAGAAATTGTCCAAGATGCATGTATTTAAATCACACCCACCGGCCGGGCCTCCCTTCCCCCGTCTCCAACCTCCAAGTAGAATACTTCCCTGGCAAGGATTCCTGGCAACATAATGGGCATACTAGTGATTTCTTCCCTGGGGGGTGGGCTCTGCCAATGGGACTCCTGGAATTTCCCAGGTCTCCTGTGGCTGCTGGAGGCTTAGGGTGCCCAAGAAGGGTGTTCCTTTCATTCCCCTTGTACTTCTGCCCCAAGCATCCTTGCTGCAACTGACAGCCTCTCTGTAATACCAAGTAGCAGGTTACCTGGGCAGAGAGGTGGGCAGAGCAAGTCACTGGCATGGGATGCTATGGCCAAGTGCCAAGGAAGAGATGTGTGTTATGTTTTATACTTTCTTGTGGGTTGGGGAAATTAGAGGGAAGGAAGCTGACGTTTATTGGACAGGGAGACTAACAAAGGCACCACGTATTGAGGATATGGCCAGGCTCTGTGTTAATGTTTTCAAGTATACTCTCATTTAATCAACAGAGTAATCCCATTTCACAGATGCAGGTAGCACTTGCATCATTCTGCAGCCCCGGACCCTGCTTTGTGGTGGTGGTTCTTTAAGCACTTATTACCTGATGCTCTAATACAAACTGCATACGGTCTCCTCCACAAGATTGCAAGTTCCATCAGGGCAGGAATGTTACTGATTTGTTCGCTGTGGTATTCTCACTTGCTAGAACAGCGTCTGGCCCACTGTAGGTGCTCATTAGCTGTTCCTGAAATGTGTGAATAAGGAGAGACTCAGAAGTTCAGCAGTGGGTCCAATGTGGAGCTCGTGATCCTGTCTATTTGTCAAGTTTTTCTGAGGCCTAATGAAACAATGCAGACATATGGCTTAGCACAGAGCCTGGCACATAGTAAGCACTCAGTAAACGTTACCTGTCACTGTAATTTGCAAGGTCTTCATTGGACCGCTTTCTTGCCTACGCCCATTCATCTCAGAGCCCTTCCTAAAGCGGGTCGTAGAGCCCATTCTCTGGCTCCAGTCAGAGTGAAAGCAGTTTTTTGGTAGAGAGTTTCTGGGCTTGCAGAAAACAATCAGCCCGTTTGTTTGTGGGTTTTGGAGGCAGGACAGCTGGACTTCCATTCACGAAGGGTCCTCTTCTAACCGTCCCCAAAGCCATCCAATTGTGGCCAACCTTGAGCCACTCTTCCCAGCTTACTGCTTCCGTCTCAAGCCCTGCCCCATTCCACTGCTGTACCCTGAGAGTGCCTTTTGGCCCTGGTGCCTCTGCCCACCAGGAGAGGTCAGGAGGTACCCCAGCCTCCATCAGGGAAGGGTGCATGAAGCCCTTTGGAAGCTCGGTAAACCTGAGGAAGGGCACATGACCTCATCTGCTCCCGACTCCAACAATGCAATGCTCAGATCAATCACCCAGGTGAGCTGGAGGGAGACCCTGACCACAATAGCATTTACTGTCCACCTGGGAAAGCACTGTGCGGTTAAAAGCCTATTTCTTTTTCTCTTGCAGATATTGATCTACTTAGTTTTGTGCCAGGCTGTTTGCTGGTAATTAATTTCAGAGTCAGTGCAAGGGCTGGCAGCTAACATCCCTTTCCCGAATGCGCGGTGGCCTCCCTCCAAACTCATAAAGATGATGTGACTGCCTCTGTCTGCTACCCGAGCCGTGCTGTGACTTCAATATCTTTCATTTGGGCTGAAGTTAAGTGCAGGACCTGGACTCTGTGTTCTGTCACATTGCTAAGTGAGGGCTATGATTATTAAAAAAAAAAAAAAAAACCAATGTTCTTTCCAATTCCTTGATCCTGGAAAACAGGAAATGATGTCATTTGTTTCCTTCAGTCCACATGAAAACCTTTGGCTCTTCCTGGACCTGGCTCTTGTTTTGACTGCCATTAGCTAGCTGTGTGATTCTGGCTCTCACATCCCATCTCTGAAGTGGTTTCCTCATATGGCCAATGAGGGGTTTGAGTTAGGTGATATTAACTAATATCTGTGTGGTACTTTACATTCTAGATAGCATTCAAACCCACACTGACTCAGTTTGCCATTTATAATTGCCTAGTCTTGATCTGTGTCTCGGTTTCTTCATCTGTAAGATGGGGACACTGTTAGTACCTCCCCGATAGGGTTGTGGTGAGGATTACAGAAGCTTGGGGCTGGGCGTGGTGGCTCACGTCCGTAACTCCAGCACTGTGGGAGGCTGAGGGGGGTGGATCACAAGGTCAAGAGATCAAGAGCATCCTGGCCAACATGAGGAAACCCCGTCTCTACTAAAAATTCAAAAATTAGCTGGGCGTAGCGGCGTGCACCTGTAGTCCCAGATACTTGGGAGGCTGAGGCAAGAGAATCTCTTGAACCCAGGAGGCAGAGGTTGCAGTGAGCCGAGATTGGGCCACTGCACTCCAGCCTGAGCGACAAGAGCAGAACTCCCGTCTGAAAAAAAAAAAAAGCTTAGACACATGAAGTACTCAGACCTGTGGCTGCACCTGGTAGATGTTAGCTGTCGCCCCCAGCACCGTCATCATCACCTCATAGCAGCCCTAAGGTGAGCCTTTATTTTTCCCATCTTATAGATAATGAAGCATTTGCTCTTAAACTGCTTAATAATTGACAGAGCAGGGATTCACCTGCAAACTTCCCAGTTTCTTTGAGGCTTTCTAAGAGGCTAAGTGGCCAGGGAAACTGAAGAAATGACACATCAAATTGCCCCCTCTCCCTGCAAAAGGAGCACTGTAGTATTAAATGTGTGCTCTGCAGAAGGCAAGGCTTCCCTTCCATGCTGCCTTTTTTTTGCCAGAAGGCCGCTGTTCACTCTAGCCCCCTAAGCAGGACCCCAGAGACCACGCTGTCCTCTCCTGGACACCCACAGTTTCCAGCTTCTCACCACAACCTGCTTCCTTTCAGGCAAGAAAGTTCCAGAGGCGGGTAATTAAGTCATTTAAAACCATTTTCATGGTGGATCTTTACTGAATTTTTTAAAAGCAATATTTATGTCCCTTAGACATTTCTGAGAAGACTTAGCTGTTCTTTTAAAAACATCACTTCAGCGCCAATGAAAAATAGAATCCAGCCTTAGTAATAAATTTTAAAAACATACACACACAAAAGTTATCAGCCTGCAAAACAATGTTTCCTAGCCTTCCCACACGTCTTGGGATTTTAACAACGTCCCATCTGTTGATGTCAGTCAGAAGAAGCAGGTCTGTATTCTCTAATTTTATTAAAACCCTTTCTGGCTAGTAACCTGATTTCTATTAGGCTGGCCTCCTTACTCTCAGGCCCCAGGCCTGTGGACCTGTGCCAATCCACATGGCTGACAGAAATGGGGATGATTAATCAAAAATCTGTTTAGCTTGTGCTTAATAAGGAATGTTTTCTCTTGCTCTTGTTACTAATTGCCGAAGATGTCTGTGTTTGGATTAAAACTTTGTCCCCTGCCATCTGGATGCCATTGATATATCTCAGCTCAGTCGTGAGCTTGGTGATATCAGTGGTTTCCATGTCAACAGATGACAGCGTCATATGTGGAAATCGTATGATTTCAGTGCACAGTGAAGGAGCCAGCCTTGGGAATGAGGAAGCTCTGCTTTCACACCTAAATATCTTCACTGATTTTCAGACATTGCTTTGAAATTTTTCTGTTTTGTGCCAATTACATTTACATGCAAAATTGCAGTGCAAATGTTTTTGGCCATTTGGGAAAAGAGACAATGGGCTTGCTGATACCTACCGTTCCAATCAGTGGGAAAGACATCTTCTCAAAGAAGTCTTTTAAAATCTCCAGGTGACAGGAAATCTGTTTACTCTCTGAATCCAAGCAATGTACCATATACGCCGTGGCAATCTCAGGTAAAGCTCAGAAGTCTGCACGTAAGGGTGGCAGTGGTATATTGCTAGCTATTTTCCAAGGGGACCCCGGGACTCAAGGTCTCATGTAGCCTGTCTAAATCTATCATCGGCAACAGCAGTCAAGAGACAGTACTGAAATAATTAAGGAAAAAAAGAAAGAAAGAAAGAAACACCCTTCAACTTCAAGCTCTGGTCTGCAGTGTCCAATAGAATATTAATAAGAGATGAATTTTAATCATCTTTTTTTGTTTGTTTTGAGACAGTTTCGCTCTTGTTGCCCAGGCTGGAGTGCAATGATGGCCATCTCAGCTCACTGCGACCTCTGCCTCCTAGGTTCAAGCAATTCTCCTGCCTTGGCCTCTCAAGTAGCTGGGATTACAGGCATGCACCACCATACCTGGCTAATTTTGTATTTTTCTTAGAGACAGGGTTTCACTACATTGGCCAGGCTGGTCTCAAACTCTTAACCTCTGGTGATCCTCCCGCCTTGGCCTCCCAAAGTACTGGGATTATACGTGTGAGCTAATGCTCCCAGCCTTAATCATCTTTTCTAGGAATTTCATGATTTTGATTAAGAAAATAGATCATTGGAAAATTGTTTCTGTATGAGGTAGACTGCAGTAGCAACCACAAAAAAACATATTATGTGAACCTAGGAAAATGAACCTGATAGCAGCCTACTTTATTTATTCTTAGATCAAGAATGCTGCAGCCAACGTCCTTCGGGAAACGTGGTTAATCTATAAACACACAAAGCTGCTAAAGAAGATTGACCATGCCAAAGTCAGGAAGCACCAGAGGAAGTTCCTCCAGGCTATCCACCAGTGAGTATGCCACAGCGGTTCAGCCGTCACATGGCCAGGCTAGGAGTGGCGGGACTCCTACAACTCTGTCAGTACTTTCTCACGTACCTAGGAGGCACAGAAGAAATCCGTTCTGTTCCACTCAGCAAGTGGAGTGGTGAACTGGGTCTGATCATTCACTGACTGCACCACCACGTGCCAGGAATTGGGCAGGCTGCTCTGGAAGGTAAAAGCTAGAGTAAGAACCTCTAAGGGCTTTCACATTCTATACCCATACACACACCCCGTACATCACACACCCCACACACAGTATACATCACACACACCGGACACACTACACACACTATACATCACACACCCTGCATATCACACACCCCACACACACTATACATCACACACACCATACACACTACACACACTATACATCACACATACCACACATCACACACACCATACATACCACACACACTATACATCACACACACCGTACACACTACACACACTATACATCACACACACCACACATCACACACACTATACATACCACACACACTATTCATCAGACACACACCATACATCACACACACCATACACACACACACACACATACCACACACATACACACCACACACACAC